TGTATACAATAATTTTATTTTCAGAATTTCATAAATATAATTTTCATTTTTTTTTCAACCAATCAATTAACTTTACATAGTTTGGGGCCCTCACTAAAGTAGGGTCTTAGACGATCACCTACTCCGCCCATACTCAGGGCCACCACTGCGTGTGGGATCATCGTGGTGCAAATCTTTCAAGATATCTCAATGCTGCATTTCTTAGGAAGAAATCAATAAGACACCATTATTGTGGTGGACTTCAAATTTATTGAAGGGCTTAGTCTGTTGGGTTCTTTTAGATTATAGATATTGACCTACCTCAAACCATGTAAAATTGTATCTAAATTTGATATCATATAATATTAGCCAACTTAACTAGACAAGCTTCTTTAGAAACACGTGTGAGTTTGAAAAGATAATATCAAACAAATGTATACAACATGAGAGCAATTGCACTCGTTTTATTCAATCAAAGGGCTATAATTCACCAATATATGAAACACAAATATGCTAAAAACACAAGTCCAGAACATGAATTTCGTTTCCCATAATATCCATCTCAAATCAGCATAAGAAAGGAGAGTACTTGACTATCTCAATTAACTTCATTTAATCAATATCTTTTAGTTCTTTACAATTGTCACATGCCTTGGAAGCATTTGGACAATGTTGTAGGAAATTCTTGAAGCCTCGGTTTTCAGACATTGGATCTTTGCATCAGTTTCTTTTTCGAGTCGCTATACTGTAACAACAGTCTCCACTACCCTGTTTGATGCGCATGAAGCACAACGAAAAAGCAGTAAGAAATCTATTACTTTATGAATCTATAGAATATAAAAAGAAGTAGCCTAATTTAGCTCAATCAAGCTAAAATCTAACAATTTGGATCATGCTTCACTATGAAAATTAAATTTATAGTTTTAGGACTTGATAAAAGATGTAATAAAATTAAACTGCCATCTATTTGTTTGGAAAGTAAAGATGTAAAGTTTTTATGTTATCTTTAGTAGAAATTAGAGTTTTTTTTCTTAATCTTTGGTATATTGTTGAGGACATGAATGGGGGTCTATAGGCAAGATTGGGGGTTGGTATGGGCGTGATTTTGGGTCGATATTGGCGTGTGGTAATGCTTGTTTGGTGGAGTGATATAAAAAAAAGTTGAAATGTATGAAATTTCCTCTTTTGGGAAACTTTTGTAACAAGAAAAGGGGCTTTAATAGCCCAAAAGCGTAAAAGTCAAATTCTCTAAGAGCCCAACAAATATCAAAATAAATAGGGCGTCAAGAGGCCCTAACCCTAACTCCAAAAAAGGAATCAAAGGCCATTCAAAGCTCACTATAAATATGGAATGTTCAGGCCCAACACCCATGTCTTTGTTCCCTAATAACCCAGAGGGAAAATTTCATAACTAATAAATTAATTAAGGCACATTTCAAAAACAAGAAAATAAGTTTCAAATTTCTAAAATCAGATTTTTATTAAAAATTATTTATAATTTAATTAGTTAATTAATTATTTTATTAATTAAACATATTTAGGTCACAGATCTATACAATTTGATCACAAATTAACAATATAATTAGTTACTTATTATTTTTTGGTCACAAATCAAAAATTTTATGTCACAAGTTTTTTTACGATCACATTTCAAAAATTTTGTAAGTCACATTTTATTTATTGGTCACAAATCCAAAAATAATTAGTCATGGATTAATTTAAGGGTCACAACTCAATAAATTATAAGTCACAAACACAAATTTTATAGGTCACATATTATTTTTCGATCACGTATCAAAATTTTATAGGTCATAGATTAATTTTTCGATCACAACTCAATAAATTATAAGTCACAAACACAAATTTTATAGGTCACGAAATCAAAATTGTTATTGGTCACATCTAATTTATCGGCCACAAATCAAAAATTTCTTAGGTCGCAATTCATTGATTAATCACAAAATCAAAATTTTAATTGGTCACAATTCATTTGTCAGTCACAAATTATATCAAAATAATTAGTCACAAATTAATAAATTACAAGTCACAAACTAATTTATTGATCACAAATAACCAAATAATTGGTCACAAATATCCCGTCCCATCCCGTCGACCCCCAATCACCACTTGCCATGACCACCTTCATCTCACCGGTATGCAAAACCACCATCACAGCAACCACCCACACCACATCAATGTAAAATCACCGTCACCGTCACAGTAACCACACCATTACACACCAAACTTCGAAACCAATAACCTCCACTGCCGCCAGAAAACGACCACGATTGCAGCCACCAAACACACCAACAGTAGCACCGCACGCCATCTCATCCCATTTACGATCATTGCTACGACCCACTCTACTACCTCCAAAGTATAGAAGCTGCCACCGGCACCAATTCAACAACCAAAACCAATGACTCACCGCCATCAACCACCTATACCATCACCGTACGATAACCACGACCACCTCCACCTCACCAACGTTAACGCACAGAAAATTTGAAAAAAAAATATGAACAACTGCACAACTCCATCACCACTGTCGCACCGTACACCACCACTACCCCTACAATCGTACCATATACCACAACCACAGCAACAATAGTCATGATTGTAAAACCACCATTACAGTACCCACACCCCATTGACCAACACAATACAACCACCAACACCACCACAACACCCAAAACCACCAATAGATTTCTCCACTACAAGGAGAAGACGCGTCTACATAGGGGCTCCAGCTAAGCAAATCGCATCGAATGAGAAAGAAATCACCCCCAAAAATTCGGTATGCCCAATGGCAGCAGAAACGCTGGCTGTTTCAGAGCGACGCCACGCTGCTGCGGTGGTGGTGGATCGTCACGACGATCTGCAACAAGTAGTCGTTCGATACCGCCTCGAACACCAACACCCACCACCAAGTCGTCACCGCCCCGAAGCACAGCCTTGCACCAATGATTGGAGAATCCATGTCTCTAGCACCGTCCAAGTACGCAAAGTGACGGCTGCACCCCTGATGCCGTGCGTTGACGCCGGAGGAGGTGGTCTCAGCGAAGGTTGTGTAAATGGATGGAAGAGAGAGAGGGGAGAATGTTACGGTTTAGAGAGAGAGAAGAAAGTAGTGAAATGATTAGGGTTTTGGATAATTTTATTTTTTAATATAATCTGATTTTTGAATAACCAAACTTTGAATCTGATTTTTGAAATTGGATCTTAAAATATATGGATGTGTGTAATTTCCTCTAT